GGGTATACTAGATTTTGTATGGTTTCTATCGTCAGTAATATAACCAATGAAACTGAAACAAGGTTGAAGTGAGTGATAAGATGCAAAAAAGAATAGAGTGTATGTGTGTGTGTGGGGGGGGGAGGGTGGCAAAATATTAAGTCGCCAGAGTAGGGTCTGATTTATAAGCCATTCACGCTGTTCGTACGATTCGGGTTTACAACTGAGAATGGCTATGACCCCAGCATATCTAATCAATCTGGTGTTTGTTATGTTTTACATGACCTTAAATGAGTTGTTCGGGGTTACAGTGTTTTTGTTACGTAATTCATTTTCTGGTTGCTTATATTTCGTTGATGACATCCCAGGGAACTGACTATTCATGGACTTTCAAAGCCACACCGGAGTATGCCCATCTATTTGGTGACGCTGTTGTTTATGTTTTCTTTTATGTGAGGCTTCTGCTGCCCAAGATCCGAGTGCCAGAAACAGAAACCATCGATGTCTGAATCCTGAGCTGCATTGTTAGATGGAGGCAGGTCGGTTCCTCCGAATTCCAGATAGGATAAGGCACGGGATGCTTTAAACGCCAACTGATTCGATGCATGAGAAACGACCTTGAGCAGTGTCTGGAGATTGAAATAGTTGTGGCGATTGCTAACGACCGCAACCTTTTCCGATCAATTAGAAATGCAAGTTCACGAAAAGCAGCCGTTAGCGAATTAATGAAAGAGGCGAACGACTCACTGAATCAGACTCAAGAGCTTCGTCTAGTTCGTTGGGCGGTGCATTTCGAGAAGCAGTTTAATTGGCCCTTATTAACGACAGGTTCGCTAATTATCGCGATGGTGACAGCTCTAGTTGTAGATACCAGCCGTCCGTCAGAAGCGGTGGTTCTTTCTGAGTTAAGCTATCTTAAATGATATAAGTCTGCCGGACCGGATTGGCTGTCTCTGTCTGTCTTCAATGACGGTGACTCAGCACTGTTATTGGAGTTGACAAACCTCCTCGGTTTGATATGGGATAGGGAACGAGTTCCGAGGAGTTGGTGTAAATCGGTGATCATACCGATTTATAGTGAAGGCGACAGGTCCCCCTGTGAAAACCTTAGGGGAATAAGTCTGGTTAGCATCGTATCCACACTGCTCGCTTTTGTTATTCTCCACCGCTCATCTGACGCTCACGAATAGTGCTTATACGAGAACTAATCTGAGTTTAGACGTGGTCGAGGTTTTATTGATCACCCATTCGCTCTTGGACAAATTTTAGAACATAGGTACACCGTCCGTAGGCCTACTATCTCTGTGTTCCTTGATTTTCAAGCGGGACTTCGACTCAGTTGACCGGAAAGTTCTCTGTCACTGCCTGTTGTTGAATGGTGTGTGGTAGTGAAATTTATTTTCCGACTTTACCATGAGAAGCGTTTCACGATGTGGTTTCTCTCTCTTTCCTTTAACGTTTTGATCGATATGGTCATAGAGATTGCAATTTTGTCATGTGAAGATGGTGGTATTGAAATTTTTTGGGTGGAAAGTTGTCAAACTTTGAATATGCGGACGACATTGTTCTTTTAAGTGAAGATCCATGTAAGTTGCAAGCTTTGGTAGACAGCTTGAGCAACTGCCTAGCAATCTTCGGTGTACGTTGCGCACCTTTTGAGTGATAAATTCTGTTGCTGGAACGCTGCATTTATTGTCAGTTTTTACAACATCATCGTTTGATTAGAGTTCCCGGTCCACGGAAGCTCTCTGTCAGTGAATTAATCAAGGCGTCCGATGGCTCACTGATTCACACTCAGGAACGTCGTCTAGACAGTTTTGCGGTGTACTTTAACGGACAGTTCAGTTCGTTCACTTCAACAGTGGACCTTCCGCATATATCTGCAAGAGAACTGATGCAGGTAGATAATGCTCTCCCATCAGAAATAAATGTGATGCGCGAAATAAGTTACTTGCAAAGATGCAAAGCCGCTGGATTTTATCCATCTACGGAAGGGAAGCTTTGGTTTAGGAGTTGCCAAAACTCCTCCGGAAAATCTGGGTTGATGAAGTGATTTCCTCGAAGCGGTACACCGTCCGCAGGCCTATCAGCTCTGTTTACTTCGAGTTCCATTCGACTCAGTTGACCGGACAGTTCTTTGTCGCTGCCTGTTGTTGAATGGTGTACCAGAAAAATTCACTCCGTGAAATTCAATGGTGAGTGCTTTCAATGAAAACAGTTCTGTCGAGTGCGATCGAGTCGAACTATATTCGATACCCGCACGCGTTAACGACAGCGGTCTGACTACATCCATATCGACCGTCTCGGTCGAGAAGCGGACAACAATTGACTGAAGAAGACCGCGACACTTCACTATGGAGTCTTTCGATGCTACCACATTCTTCACACGTTCTACAAAAGTCTGTGTTATCTATCCGTGGGTATCGCCACTGAAGACGAAGTCTGGCCGCATGTTCTACCTTTATAACTCCAGCGTGGTCCAGTTTGGTGTGTAGTGTTGTCAATACTGCCTGTTTGATGGCCCGCGGAGCCACGGTTCTAGCCGGGTTGTTTGGTCCATGTTGAAAAACCAATGTGTCATCCATCATCGGAGAATCCCAAGTGCTCCATGAGCGCTTTGTCCATACACGTTGGTTTATCGCTTTCTGTTTTCATCCTTTCATAGACGAACGCCCTGTCGCTACCACTCGATTGCATCGCCTTCCATTATCCCCTGGTATTGTCGCAGGGATTAACCTGCGCCACACAATCGGCATTACATGATGGACAGTCACCACGATCCCTCACCGTTCGTCTGGAAATAGCGTCCACGTCCGGATGATGGTTCTTTGGCCGATGTTCGGAAGCATAGTCAAATTCCTGGAGCTGCTCTTGCCAAAGCGCAATTCGTGCCTGCAGGTCCCTAAAATTTTGCAGCCACAGGAGCGATTGGTGATCACTTCGGACAATAAATGGGCGGCCGATTAGGTAATGACGATATTTCTTATCGAACGTCACTGAGTCTAGTATTTCCCTCCGGGTGGTGCAGCAGTTTCCTCGTTTAGCAAGGCTTTTCTTTCGTATGCTGTTGCGTGCTCCCGACCATCGGCATCCACTTAGGATAACACCACCCCAATAGTGTTATCACTGGTATCAGTGTCTAAGATGAATTCGCCTGCACTTTCCGATGGATGTGGCAGAACCAGTACAGATGACAAACACAGTATGGAGCAGAACTAGCTGTTGGAAATCCCCTTCACATTGCTCATCCCAAACAAAACTACTGTTTTTCTGTAAGGAGAGATTCATCGCTGCCGCGTACTCATCGAATTTCATAATAAATCGCCGATAATAAGAAGCTAAACTCAGGATGGAATGAGGAGTAGGCCACTTGAGGACTTGGTCAAGATCCGTTTTTATCCCATGGTGTGACCCAAAGAGCTGACTTTCTCGCAGAAAAATTTCCACCTTGAAGACTTCAACTTGAGACCTGCCTTTTGGTCTCCAAAATTAATTCAAGTTTTTCAAGAGCCCCTCAGTTGTTGGTCCATGTATTAAAGCAACATCAATGTGAAAAAGGCATTTCGGAGGAACCAGACCTGTTAGCATATGATTCATTGGTCTTTGAAAGGTAGCGGGTCCAATAATCAATCGATAATGAACCGCTTGGAATTCGTACGAGCCCCATGGACTGATGAATGCTCATTTCTGTCTTTTGCTTCGATTTCCACTTGCCAATATCCTGATGCGAGATCTTATGTACTGAGATAATGTACAACCCCAAGAGCGTCAAACTGGTCTTCTATTACTATTAAAGGGAAAGAGTCCTTCTCGGTAATTAAATTTAGTTTTCGATAACCTACACAAAATCTCATCCATCCTTTTTTTAACCAGCACCACTGAGGACACCTATGACAGCTGTTGTGGTTGAATAACATTTTTACTGAGCTTATCCGCCGTAGTTTCTTGTACCTGTGCCTGACAATGAACTGGGATCAACCCAAGGGCCGATTTCACGGGTTCGGTGTTTCTCGTATACATATGATTCCCTACCACACTTGTTCTACCCAACTTGTCGCCCTCCCAAATTAACGAACCGGAGAATTTCCGTGAAACATTGATTAGCGTGACGTTAGTCGCCACTGGTTCGTTTGTGCTCAGTAACTCCTTGAATCGTCGCTCACCTACTTCAATCACCCTAGTGGTACATATGTCCGCGTTTCTGTAGTCACACGCAGTGCAGCCACCATATCGTTATTCGACATGGATTCTTTCTCAGGAAACATCTAAAACGTGTTCAATTTTTTTCAAATTGTTTTATCCAAAAATCACATCGTGCAAGAGGTCCCCAACCACCAGCAGTGGATGCTGTTTCACCACTCCGCCAGGTTCTGCAGACAGTTCAAGAATTCCCACTTTTGGTAGATGTATTCCACACACTGTCGTTCGCACACAGTTTCATTGCTATTTTTAAGGATAGGGAGCAGAATCGAGGTCGACTAATCTAAAGGAATGATTCCTGTTTCCCAGACTGCACGAAATACTACGCAATATGGGTTCATTGGAAACCTTGGATACATCTTAAAGATGCTCCAGGAAATACCATCTTCTCCAAGGAGATCCCCCTTTATCCCACTGATCAAGTTCGGGTCAGCTTAATTGAGTGTATGGTCGACTTCGTACTGTAGAGGTTTGTCCGTAAGTACCGTAAAGCCGGGTGAGTGTGTGGAATGGTTGAGTAGCTGATTGAATTGTTCAACCCACCTTCGCATTGTTTGTTTCTTTCCCTGTATGAGTTGGTCATTTGATTAACGTGGCAGGAATTTTGATGACAAAATGGGGCATCAGTATGAAAACTTTCTCCAGCTATTCGACGGCGGCCGCTGTTGGGTTATCTGTTAAACGTTGTATTTGGCCGTGGGTTTGTCTATATGCGTGCACAAGCAAGAATTTCTAAAGCAGGGTATGCAATGAATAATCATGTTTAATCTGTAAGCAAATCCTTAATGAATATTTATGAACTTTGTTTTTTACTCCTTCAGACTCAGTCGAGGAATCCAACGCTGAGATTCCAGGGCGTTATTATCACCTTTTTGTCCAAGGTGAATTGGATTTTCTAATCGCGCAGGTTCCCTCTCTGCAGCTGCTTCGTGTATATTATGAACGGGGTAATTGGGCGGTAGTCGTTTTGAAAATTGATCCAGAAATACACATCCTTCATGATTAAAAATTCTTTCGATTTTTATTCTGTGGAGATTATGAATAATTTCAACGGAGCGTGAAACACAAGTGGACATTTTTCTGTCGATTTATTCACTTGATAACATTTATTTGGGTAAAAATAACGGAAACATGTGAGACAGCATTATCTAAGTTCATCAACATGTGTTGCACTTAAAATAGCTCATCTTTGGCCAGAGTAAACTGGGAGTACTTCTCAACAACTGAATATGGATTACTCTGACCATTGACGGCGTTCAGCGCTTAACCACTCTTGAGGCATACAGTTACACTCCGCGGCTGTCAAAGGATGTCATTTTGGTATATCTCTCCGGTCAAGCCTATGTTGTACGCACCGAACTTTACCATTTTCCACGTTTGAATAAACGTGCACGATGCTGACCTTTTTGATTGCATACGTACACATGAGTGCAATGGAAGGGATATAGCACATAACCTCAAAGGCCTACTTCACTATTGAGGATAATCGGCAACCGTATCCTGAGGCTTGGGGCGGAGAACCACATTAACTCTCACTATTTATCTCATCTTATGACCACCATAGCTGGTGCAAGTTGCACGTCAATGTGTAAACAATAATAATTGACTTGAGCCGATTTGTCTCTATGATGTGGCAGCTATGATCATGGTTCGTACCACTCTGAAAACCCCAAATGTGTGTGCATGCATCCTCCTCAAATTAGTTTGCTTAGCAGAAATAAATATATGAATCAGATAGGTGGAGATCTGAATGTGCATCAGTGGTCAATGAGGTGAAGGACAAGAAGCTGTGCCAGAGCGTGGTTGGAGTTCACATATATAGTTCGGTAGAATCCGCAATACAGTCTGTTTGTGGTGTATTCTATGAGCGTATCGTTAGATGGAATATTTACTGCCGACAGACTCCATCGGTGTTCACTGTTTAATGTAGAAGGTAGCGATTAGACGGTAAATCGTTCTACGGACTGACTTTGGTAGTTTCTGGTGAAGGGTAACTGCCTGAAATGTGTGGTTGTCCTGGATTCCAATAGATTTGGTCTTAGCTGCATGCTGCGTCCTTCTATAAATTTTTTAGATACTCAACAAACCATTCAGTGGTAACTTCCGTTCAGATTCGTAGTCAACTGAATTCAAGTAGACGCTCTATGCATCAAGAGAGGTTAATATTTAGTAATTCCTGCTAATTTCTTTCCGACAATGAAGACTAGAAGTGTTGACAAAACCTTCCCAACCGTAATGAGGATACTTTCAGGAAATTGCTGGGATATTACAGGTTCTCTTTTTTACTGCAATCCATGCTCTCTTGATCCGCTCCGAGTTGTTGTTTTTAGCTCATCCTAGCTGCGAGAAAGCAACGGAAACCGAGGCATAAATGTCTCGTTAGAGATTCTCAAAATCAAGGTCTTATTTGGTGCAGACAATAAAACTGCGCTTCCTTGTTCATACTTCTTACAAGTTTTCCGCGGAAGTCATTAAACTGATGCTTTTCGAGCAGTATTTCTTCACATAATAATTTCACTTCATGGCTTGCTGAGACTACTGATCAGGTGAGCGGATCCAGTTTGAAAGACGTCAATCGATGGGATCTGCTGACCTAAATAACCAAATCGGCCCCAGCACCCACGTCGCATGATTTGGTCGGGTGAAATTTTTGTCAGTTGATTTTGCTAAATGCATTGAATTTTACGAGACTGATTATGCTGTATATGCATTATGAGTTATAACGTGTGTAAATCGCGATTGCCATTGCACCAGGTCATCTTTTACACTCTTTGAAAGCGAAACAGCACCTTTGTGTTCAAAGTCCAAGGTAATCTACGCATTGAATCAGAGGGAGGCCCATGTATTTTATTCGTGAAGTTATTCCGACTGATTTGTCGGATGTCCACAAGTTTACCATCAGCCTTCTTGAGCATCATATTGGACAGTGTGACAGAAGTCTACTGGATGAGCCTGATTTCGTTGACATCTTTGAACGCGGCTATCTGAATGGATTACTTCTGATGTATCGAGAGGACAACTCTGCACAAAACGACTCAGATCCAACTGTTCATGACTTCAAGCCAATAGGTTGCATGCTTTATCATCACGATATATCTACTGTGCATGGCAAGGGTATCTATTTGGATCAATTCTTCATAGAGCCAGAATTCCGCCGGCTTGGTCTCGGACGTGTGATGATGACTAAGTTGTGTGAATTATCCCTTGCAGAGCACGGAAGCTTTATTAGACTCACTTTTCAAAATGGTCTTGGATTGGACAAAGTATATGGGAAAATGGGTTTCGTGAATTGCTCCAAAAGCTATCCTGGACTGCATCTATTCGAAGCCTGGGGTAGGCCAAAGTTGCGTGAATTCCTGGAAGTAGGCGAGGTGTTTGAAAAACGTTTTTCTGACAATTCGTCGTCTAAAAACCATCCACTAGTTAAATTAATCTTTCCCTTGGAACAGTCATCAAAAATGGACAGTCTCACTTGGTCTTCTCTGGACATCGAATCCACGGAGCGTCACGATAAATCCTTTAAAAATCCCTCGCCACCTAAACCTCGACTCGTACTTATAACAGATGGGACATTACAAAGGGGATGTGATGATAATGCTTTCAAAGAAAAGCATTTGGAAAAGTGTATATTCCCCTTAATGTTGCCACGAATAGAATCCACAAATGAAACAACAAACCTGGTAAAGAGACCTCGAATGTGCATGTTCACCGAACAGATTTCAGTTTGCAGCTGGCTGGGTCCCATGGTGAACTTCTCAGACTTTATTGGAGATACATCTTTACTTCAGCCGCACGTGCTGTTCAGCCGAGTTCGTGATTGGTTGCAGATAGAACCAAATTTGCGCGGTGCCTCTTGGGAAGTGCCATGTGGTATTGATATTAACTCGGGAACAGATTCTATATCCCTGGAAAGTTCTTTGAATGAACTCAATATTCCAGACGACACCAAACGTGAGGGATGGAATCTAGCTTATCTTGATGAAGTTGGGATGCGCCGTTTGCTCGAGCGACCACCACCTAGTGGAATTTCAATCCTCAAATGAATTTTCATTAAGCGAACTTCATTACAAAGATTTCGTCATAGGTACTGTTCATATCATCGATTTTGTTTCGCCCGTCACTTTTGTCGTACTTATGTGCCCCTGACCGGATTTTCCTTTACTGTCGATAATTTTTTCGCCGTTTTATTAAAGGGGTTTTACATACTTCAGTAGCTTTTTCAGTGAGACAAAATGTCTGATGGTATTCTCGACTAAACAGTATCATATATTTGTTTTCATTTTTCTTAGGGTGCTCAGTGTTCGTTGACATTTTCCATCCAGGGACAGGTAATCCAGAGATATGTGATAGTTGGACCTTCATGTGAGCATTTTTGACAGGGTACTTGAGAAAACTAAGGGAGACGAAGAGGGGTGGACTTTTATGTCAACCACTCAAATGCTTCAAAGATAACGGGGCTTATCCCCTATAGAACAATATTCGTGGCACTGGTATCCGGCCAAGTTACATTGAGCTTCAAGCCAACGACACTCCCTACTTTGTGGGTCCAGTTCGGAAGTTCGACCGCACGAAATGAGGCCGGTAAGGTCCGAAATTCTGGACAAAGCCTCCCTTTAAGGATGAGTCGAACTTATTCACATCCCAAAGGAAGATTCACAGTGGCTGTGCCAGCCATAGGATTTCAAACGTGAACACATCGTCAAAGCTGTCAGCGCCTATTATACTACATGCTTGACGGCGGTAGACACTCATACCATCTCCCTGGGTAATACCACCACCTGTCCTATTGGAGCCCTATGTGGTTCGTGATTCCAAGCCCCTGGGGTTAGGTTGTCGGTTTCACCTAAAATATGAAATTTACAATTCACAAGAGATCATTGCTCATGTCTGCTCGAAAAAACCTGCTCTCACCAATATTCGCCATTTAAACCACAATATTGATTCTGTACGCCTTTTGACTGAGATGCAAAATCCGCCCTTGTCCGACACTGCCCATCCCCAGTTTCACAAATACTTTTTTTCACTCTTCCATTCCACCTAAAGCTGGTGCCTTCGCTTACATCCATCAGCCTGCTGCTACGGTCTGTCTCTCACGCTTGAAAGTTTTCAACTGCGAGTTCCAGCTGATGTGACTGAAACTCCGGTTCCCTTCTTTTAACCAGTAATTCCGTACCGTCAATCGTCCCCCTAACAGTAGTGAACTTTCAGTTTTTGACTGGTTGTGTTTTGGCATTGAGAACTAGTTTGCACCAGGCTCCAATAGCCAAATTATCATTCTTGGTTACTTTATTGTTCACAATAGGAACCGGCTTCTACATTGTTGTGCCACTACGGCTGTGGGGCTCAAAGCCGCAGCCTTGGCTTCGATCAACAATAATAGTCAACTCGTTGACACCCCCCATATGCATTCCTAATCGGTTTAGCGATAATGCACTTATCCTCTGTCTTATTCTCACTTCCTTTACCTCCGTGTTCTTTAATATTACCTCCACTTTGTTCACCGTCCCACCGTCTTATCTCCTCCATCTCATTTTCTCGCCGAGTTCCTCCTTGTAACCCCAGACACATCTATTAGCGCTACAAATAAGTCGAACTGGGATGTGTTTCATGACATTTTAGCTTCCTATCCTTGAAACGATTTTTGTTTCACTTCCAATGTATCGACCTCCGTTTCTAACTTCACCAAGGTACGCATATTTTTTCCAAACGTGGCAAACTTAAAGGTGTCAACGATTGTCATGCCCTGGAAAATTTTCTCAACATTGGCGCAGTTTTTAGGAAATAATACTAGGTTTTGAAGATAGCGGCATTGAAATTACTGAATCCGGTCTCCTGCCGCAAGCAGTACAGTAATATCAGGGTTTTTACTAAGAAACGAAAATCGCATCAAACTTGCTTCTATTTAATATAGGCGACCAGTAAAATCACGCGATTTTATGCACAAATCAGGGAATACGCTTACACAGGGAAACAGCTCAGTTTGTCATCGTGACTGACATGTTCATTATGTGATCCGATGATTTTATTCGGTGGAATTTCTTGTTCATATTTCGGACTCTGGCGTCTTATTCGTTTTCGGCGAATACAGTATATCACTTCAGAACTTGAGAAAATTTCGACGATTCAAATGTGGCACCGCAGGAAGAGGAGGTGATCCACTGAAAGGGATAACAGGCATACGTTAGTGTAACATGTGTGCGTTATGCAACCAGTTTCAAATTTCTCAACACAGCACCCTCTTCATGGGCTCCTTCCCCGGAGCCACAAATCTTCCTCTCTCCGTAGGAACCTCCAAATCTAATTGTGCTGATGGTAATGGGTTCTCATTATGATGAATCACACCATTATAAAGTTTCAGTTTATCATACTGAGATGCGACGATAAGGCTGCACCTTGACGTGGCGTGATGGCTTGCATTATGAGTGCAAAATAAAGGCATGCTATCATTTAATTTCAGAAATTTACGAATGGTTTTACCGCAAATGAACTTACGGGTTTTTGTTAAACTGATGCTAACTAAAATATTACAAACAAACATGTTATTTTTGTAAGCAATCCATAGTTTGAAATTGATCTTTAACTGTTCAAGACTAGGTTATGTTGTTTTACAGTTATCAACAGATAACGACGAAATAAGTTTATTCATTCCCAAAGAAATCACATTAAGAATAAACAGAGTTTATCAGGGAGGTGTGTAAATAGAATCTCCTGGGATATACTTAAATTATATGTAGCTCAAATGTTATCGTGGGAATTTCAAGAATGGACGCAAAGGAAACGAGTACATTTCATTGCAAAAGGAATACTGCGATCATGGATAGTGATAAGAAGTTGTAAGAAAATGATTTTGCTTTATACGAAAATTAATTAGATCGACGGAGATGTCGTTCTTTTTACATTTCGGATTATTGGGAATCAGTGCAATACCTAAATAGTAATAGAGTGAAAACCTGTTGTTCTAATATCGCTTTCAAGTCTGTTAGATATTCAAGCTTAAAGAATCATGGCAGCCACAGATGTCTATATTTGATAGCAGTTCAGTCTCCGTTGGATAGCCAGACCGAAGGAGAAAATCAGTCCATGACAAATTTGGTTCATTTTGAATCTAGCGTACTATTCAAACATCACATTTGGTTTGGAGGGAACATGTTAAGTAATTACTCACTGCTGTTCAGGGTATCTCTCGCTAAAATGGTACCGTAAATTCCATACCATTCGTTGGATGTTATTGAAGATCTGTAAAGAACATATTGGGACTAAAGTGTACAAACATTCCACTAAAGACGGGTATTTGCTTACCTGCTTGAATAATTTGCACTGGGTTTTCAACTGTCGATATTCGTGAATGCGCATGAGTAAAATGCTGAGTACTTAATCAAATTCATTCTAGCATTCATACACGTATACATTCATAGTGATAATACTTTGGAAAAGCAAGCTTTGATGAGAACTGAAATTATTCTGCCCGTGGGTGGAACAATATGTATAAGCCTTTTTTATATATAGTTTATTATAAGGAATCGTCATAAAATAACAATAATTATAAAAAGACAGTGGCCGAATGAATATTTATTGGAGAGCTATGATTTCACTCTAGTCAGATCTTTCCAAGGATAGTCATTATGCATCGCATAATTATGGAAACCCGGTAATAGATATGTAAAACTCCCCCCTAATGAATTCTACCAAACAACTACCGTGCATAAGTTTTCATAATACTGTTGACAGTTTTCTTGAAAATACTTTGAAACATGAATGCTGGATTTAAAAAAATGCTTCACTATATACGTTTTCATCTTATTTGAATGTCAGTTCATCGATTTTTTCGATAACCGTGTCGATATGTTATCCTTCGGATTCATTTACTTGAAACGTTAGAAGAATTCATCAAACAGTTAATCAAAAATGTTTTAAGCTGATACATTCGCACTTTACATTTTGAAAACAGGTGTCCCGTGTTTGAAAAGGGTGCATTTAAGACGTCTTTCAGCAGTTCGTTAATAAGAAGTGGGTAAAAGTGAGTAAACAACAGTTCCGAACAGACCAGTGGCCAACAAAATTTTGGTTTCTTTCAACTGGATGTGCCTAGCTACGGGAAGTCAATTATCATCATATTTTTATACGTGCCTAAATCATTGCACTACGATACAAACATTTACTGTTGATATAATCAACCTTGTATTCAGATTTCCTTCTTATGAGTGCGGAAATTAGCTAAGAACTGGTTACTGAGTTTCAACTAACCTTCTTCAGGTGTTTGTAAAGCTAAAAAGATACGCAAACCCACAGTAATTTAACCAGCCGTTTCCAATTGTACACGTTTGTGTAATCTATTTCATCAATGCAATCTGCCAATGGAGACGTGTGGTTTTACTAGGATTCGTTAGCATCGGGACTACAATCAGCATGTGAATACATTGAAAATGTCTCAAAGCCAAATGCAACTTTGCAACAGAACATCTGCAATGAATCTATCACAGAATGTGAGTGTCGAAAATGCATGGGCATATTTTATAATCAAATGGGAATGAGTAACCGGATGGTGGTTTATATTTGTTCACGATATTAGTTTAGGTTATTAGACCGCATCTATCTTGAAATTCCGTACGGCTCAGAGAAAACATGAAAGACTGGAGGTGCAAAGGTGCAATGAACAAATGTTTTTCAGAAAAGCATGGTCATGTACGTCTCGAACTTGTTATGGGAAAATTAATGTGTTTTTCATTACAGAAGATTGATTCCTAAAAAATAATTAACCGAGTGAATTGTAAATTTTAACTGATATTCTTGTAACTTGCCATTCCGCATGCTTTCAAATGCTGTCAGAGTTATCAAGGGAAATATTCGGCGCATTATCAATTATTACGATGAGATGAAAATGAGTTTTACGTGATAAATACTTCAATCGAATTACCCTCTATAACTGTCACCGTTTTCAGTGATATTTGTCAGGGAGGATTCACAGCTGCAACGAATTGCAAGTACGTTTCATCGAGCATGTATAAAACGGAATTGAGTGTGTCGTCCTACCATGTAGGAATAA